GGGCCGCTGTGTGATCGCTTGTATCCAATAGGGGGGGGGGGGGGGGGGGAAGGCAAGAGAGTCAACTGGAGACCGTCTTTGGATCTACACAGCATTTTTCGGACATTCTCATGGGGGAGGAGGGGTGAGGGGTCTCCGCAACCCCAAGTTGGGTTGAGGTTTCTTTGGACCAATCGGCTCCCTGCATTATGAGATGACCAGGATTGGCCTTCTCTTCTCCATCATCTTCAACCAGTCAATGGTTTTTTTCGACATCCAAAATGGAGGCAACGGCAGCAAGCGGAGACCCCACCTTCCCATCCAAGTTGGGATGACATTTGGGGCACATAAAGAAGCGGGTAGACATACTCTACTGGAGACCCCCTTCTGCATCATGAACCGTGATTGGCTGGTGGGACCAGAACCGGTTGGGCTGAGGCCTGGTCCAAAAAAAAGAAAGAGAGTCACCTTCGTGGATGGCAAGAAGGCCAGGATTGGTGGATTTTTTAACTGTTTGGCACTGAATGGCATCTGTAGACATCTTGATGGAAGAAACCAGAGACTAAGGCCTCACGGGCATTCCCGAACCCTGGTTTGGGTTGAAATGTGGCCCAATGAGGTGGAAGGAGACAGGAACTGGATCTCCTCATCTTATCTCAACGACAAGAAGCCATTTTGGTGCTCTGGGTGAAGGACGCTGGCCTGGAGATGACCTTTGCACCTGACAGGAGGCTTCAAAGGATGTTTCTTGGGAGGGAGGATGATGGGAAGTGGAGGTGCCACCTTCCAGCTCTGACATCATGGTGACCCCAACGTGGTTGGCCAACGTCATAGGGCAGAAGAAAACCATCATGGAAGCATAGACAAGCTATCATTGGTTGGGAGGAGGGGGCATAGAAGGGAAGACCCTCTCCCCCCTCCAATTGGTTGACTTGAGGGACACATCTGGACACAACTGCTACTGGGGAGGACAAGGAGAGTCTTGAGTTTCTTGGACATCTATGGAGGTGGGAATGGGAGGTGCCTCCTTCCAACTCTGACGTCATGGTGACCCTAGTGTGGTTGGCCAACGTCACCTAGCAGGGATTTCTGGTCGGGTCCTCTGCTATCCTCTGTCATTGGCCACACTGGCATCCCAGTGTGGTTGGATGGTCAATGTCACCCAAGAGGGGGCTCCCATTGGGCCCTCTTCTACTCTCCACTGTTAGCTAACCATGTTGGGGTGCCAATGTGGCTGGTCAACATCACCTGGTAGGGGGTTCTGGTTGGATCTTCTACCCTCTGCCATTGGCCGACCATGTTTGGGAGGGAATGTGGGGGAAGGGATGGTCCATCAGGATCTGGGAGGTTGAAGGAGACACCTCTGACACCCGTCTTGCTTCTGATCCCGGAGCAGATGGGTCTACGTAGAGGACAGCGGTGCCTTCAGACGTAGTTCTTGCTGGGGTAGTCACTACGGGGGTGGGAGGCGGCAGCCGTGTAGTGGGCGCTGTAGGTCCGGTCCGCCTTGGGGCAGGAGCAGCAGAGGAGTCCGCCCCCCAGGCCCAGGAGCCCGGCGGCCGCCCAGCCCACATAGAGGGCAGCGCCCAGCTCCCGCTTCTGCGCATCCGTCACCAGGGGGTTGTAGAAGTCCCGGATGATGGCGTGGGCCGACCAGCACACGGGCACCAGGCAGAGGAGCCCGGCAAAGGCAAAGAGGGCACCTGAGCCCACTGCCACCCGGGCCTTGCTAGCCTCATCTTCCACACAGGTGGTGCAGCGGGCCCCCACAATGCCCACAAGTAGGGCGCCAGCCGCCACCAGCACCGAGACCACCATAAGGGCACGGGCGGCCTGGAGGTCTTGGGGCAGGGCCAGCATGGAGTCGTAGACCTTGCACTGCATCTGCCCCGTGCTCTGCACAATGCAGTTCATCCACAGCCCCTCCCAGATGATCTGAGCCACCACAATGTTGTTGCCCACGAAGGCTGTCACCTTCCACATGGGCAGGGCACAGGCCAGTGCCGCCCCTACCCAGCCCAGAACGGCCAACGCCAGGCCCAGGATCTGCATCCCTGCTGATGCCATCCTTCAGCTGCCTGCAGAAGGATAGGAAAGGGGCCACAGGTGGCGTCAGGGGGTGGATCTCCCAATGCGTGACCATCTGCCCGACTCAGCAGGATCATGCACCTAACCCTATTGGAGTAGCCTCCATTGTCCGCCCAACCCAACAGGACCCGCCTCCATAATCCACCCAACCTAATGCATCCATCCACCCCACCTCTATTGTCCACCCAGCCCCCTGCCACCATCTGCTCAGCCCAACTAGGCCCACCATCATCCATCCAGCCCTAACAGACCCAACTCTATAGCTCACCCAGCCTGACCCCACCCACCCAGACCAGCCGCCATTGTCCACCCAACCCAACTGCATCTGCCTTCACTGTCCACCCAACCCACCACCACTGGCCGCCCAACCCTACAGGACCTGCCTGTACAGCCCATGCAGCCTGACCCCACCCACTCTGACCCGCCTCAGTCATCCACCCAATTTAGCCGCCCAACCCTACAGACCCCACCTCCATCCCCCGCCCAACTCAGCCCACCTCCAGCATCCACCCCTGCCTGATCCACCCTGCCACCATGACCAACCCCACACCCACCTGTCCAAACCAGCCCTGTCTCCATCCTCCACCCAATCCAACCCCACAGCCGTCATCCCACCTACCTCAACTGGACACACCTCCACCGCCCAACCAGATCAGCCCAACCCAACCACCCCCATCATCCAACCCCACCCCCTCCTTCACCTCCAGCCCTCCCAGTGCCCAGGGTCTTCCCCACCCCAATTCTGAAGGGAGGGGGCTGGGTGCTGGGAGCCCAGACCCTGGGTTCTCTGAGGGGGGGTGGGGGGAGTAGGGGGTTTAGGAGCCCAGACCCTGGGCTTTCTGGGCAGGGGTAGGGTCATGGGTAGGGTTAGGGGCAGGGGTATAATTAGGGTTAGGCTCTCAGACACCTGGGTTCCCTGGGGTGGGAGGATCCAGGAGCCTGGACCCCTGGGCTCTCTGGGGTGA